TATTTTATTTTTTAGTCTTTGATTACTAACTGTATTTCGATGTCATTCAGTGGCTTTTGATGGATTTCGATGGCATATGATAGTATTTGATGACATTTGATGGCATTCGATCGCATTAAATGGCGTATTGTTGGAATTCGATGAAAGACGTTGCAATTTGATGGTATCTGGTGGCATTCGATGGCATTCCATGTCATTCTATGGCTTTTGATGGCATTCGATGCCATTCAATGGTACTCGGTGGCATTTGATGGAATTCCTTTACATTCGATGGCATTCTATGGCGTTCGTTGGCAATCGATGGCATTTCATTGAATTTAACGGCCTTTGATGGAATTTGATGGCAAACGGTGACATTCGATGGCATTCAATGGAATTTATAGCATTCGGTGGCATTTGATGATATTCGATTGCATTCAATTGCATGCGATAGCATTGGATGGCATTCCATGGTATTCGTTGGCATTCGATGACATTTTATGGTATTCTATTACACTCGATGTCATTCGATGGCAATCCATGGCATTCGATTGATTTTGAAGGCATTTAATGCCATTCAATTGCATGCGGTGTCATGTGATAGCACCTGAAGGCAATCTATGGCAATTGAATGCAATGGAAGCCACTCGGTGGCATCTGAATGCTGTCGGTGGCATTCAATCACATTCGATGGTTTATGATGCATTCGATAGCATTTGATAAGATGGTTTTCCATGGCGTTAGATGGAATTAAATGATCTTTTTATGGTTTTCGATCACATTCGATGTCATTCGATATTATTTGATGGGCATTTGATGACATCTGATGGCATTCGGTGGAAATCAATTACAGTCAATCGCACTCAAACGGATTTGATTTTTTAAAAGTGTCATAACAGTCTTATTATTGAAGAGGGTAATTGCTGTGGACACACGGTTGAGGTTGTCATACAGTTGAAGGCAAATACCGGTATAGATGCTGTGGACACACGGTTGAGGTTGTCATACAGTTGAAGGCAAATACCGGTATAGATGCTGTGGACACACGATTGAGGTTGTCATACAGTTGAAGGCAAATACCGGTATAGATGCTGTGGACACACGATTGAGGTTGTCATACAGTTGAAGGCAAATACCGGTATAGATAAGTTCTAACAACGAAGTGTTTTGTGGGAAAAGGAAAGCCAAAGGCTTGAGATGGTAATGGTGATGCCCGATGGCTTTCGATTGCCTCCGAACGTCGATGGCATTGGTTGGTTACGTCTGACACTAACCAAGACAAATGTCCACACACAAACAACGACAACGACGGTGTTAACTGGTAATCCAACACGTTTTGGTCACACCTCTTTATGTTGTATGTATATGAACAAACTTCTCATCCCCTGGGATGTGTCGACCCGTGCGTCCGCACCATCCCGCTGACAACACCGGATACAATAATGGACACATCTGTTTTAACGTTGAAGTCGCGTCCTCCGAATCGGTAAAGAATCGATCCAAGTTAATTAATTTATGGTTAGAACTGAAAAATAGGATTAATAACTGATTTTTTTAAAAAACAAAAATCAGAGTGAAGGACCCTGACGGAAGTAAAAAAAATGGTGCATTGCTGTTAAATTTTCTGTGTATTCAGAAAAAAAAAAAAAAAAGAAAGAACAGTTTTACGTTGGAATTTCAAAGGAAGTTGTGTGTGTGTGTGGGGGGGGGTAATTAAATTATCTTTATTATACAGATTGTAATATAATATATTATTAATTCAATTTAATTGACGTATATTCAAAAAAAAAAAAAAAAA